CATAAACAAACAAGCAACTCTTGATGATCCATATTCATTCACTTCTACCTTCATGCACTCATAAAAGAAAAATTAAAATGTATGCAAAGCGTTCCGGTCTGACGATATCCAGATTCCTGCCATACCCGACTACAGTAGCCCCTCCATATATGCGGTGGGTGGTACAATTCTCCTTCAACCAATTGAGTTGATATGCTGTAGATAACTAGTTTGTGGTTGACACTACTCACATACAAAAAATCAGCGAATACAATAACCCCTCCATATATGTGGTGGGTGGTACTGTCCACCCACCACAAATATGGAGGGGTTACTGTATTCGGGAAATCAGCCACGTCATACTCCTTGCGAGTGCCAAGAATTCTTAAACAACAAAATACCGAGCTCCAATCTTCGCTACCATTCTAAGCTGCTATACCTTCACAAGAAAGTTTATGATCTTCTGTATGAAAGCGGAAACATCATGCTCATGTGATAGTTTGCGTAATTTTTGTGTTAACCATTTGCGTTGGCTTCTATGTGCAACAGCCGTATGCTGAAGCTGGGTGATAAGAATAATAAAGGTCTAGAAGAGGTTGCATGTTCCATGTTATATTATTTATTAAATTAAAACAAAAATGTAGCAATAGCGTAGAGTACTATCATAATCATCGCCATAAGCACCCATTTCCGCAATATCGAGCAGACACATCAAATATATCATTGATTTTGGTTTGGTTTGGAAAAGGTATTGATCTTTATTTGGAAATCATCTTTGTTAGAAACATTGCATTTATTGTTCCACGTTTGAAAAAGAGAGGTAAAATACTGATTGAGCTTAGTTTGATTGAAATTATATCTTAACCCTGATACAGTCTAGACTGTCAAAATTATTTCTGTGATACACGAATATGCATAGCGGCAAACAAATCATGCCAAAAAATATATAACATTCTAAATTGGAGACCACACAGCTTCAGCACCCCCCTAACCCTACTGCAAGCACGAAGTTTTCCTCAAGAAAATTAATCGAGATCCTATTCAAAAGATGCTCTAAAAGGTTATGTATCATGCTGCAGGAAACGAGCGTTGTAAGTTTTTGATTACCTTGGAATAGGATCTATGGGGGGACAAAGCCGTTTGATACCCTATAAGTCAAACATAGTATCTATTTTGCAACTTGTAAAATATTCAGTTTGTAATCCTTACGATTTTACCCGATTTAATTTGTTCCATTGTACTATTTTTTTTTCCTAGATATTTTTTTTCCTAGATTTTGTTTTCCGTACTGAGTACTAATGCTGCCGACGTCAGGTCAAGAAGGCAAGCTCCCACACAAAAGATCGACTCTTTTGGTTCCATTAATAGATTTTTTGAATTGATCTCAAACACGACAAAAATCGACTGGATCGATCCTTTCCATTCGATTTTTGTTTCAATCCAATTTATATATATATTTTTTTTTTCAATTTTGCAATTTAATATATTTTTTTTTTGTCTTCACCTTTGCACATCACTTGCCTTGAACATGAATTCTGCAAACAACCAGTGTGACAGTTCAGTAGAAACATTCACTTCTTATGACATATTTCAGGTTCTTCAGTCCTCTGCTATGTCAGAACTGGATCGCCATGGGGCATATCGGCAAAATTACATTTCTTGCATCAGCCTGTTTTCCCACGTTCTGTTGATCCTTTTCAAGCAGGGCAGACAAACCGTAGTGTGTATCCACATGTATACCCAGTGCTATCAAGAATGATAGCAAGTGTTCCATCAGAGAGGCTTTTCTCTAAAACTGGTGAAACCACACAGAATCGATATCGGCTCAATGCAAACGCATGGCTCAATTAGCTTTGTTGGGATCCCTCTCGGATGTGTTTTGGGATATCTGAATTAAGTACTTTCCGTACTTACTTGCTTTTACACTCCAACAATCTAATCGTTTTGTTTCATATGTTATTTAACCGGTTTTAAGTTAAATCACTCACCTAATCAAATATCATGAGAAAAAACTTCCACATGTCAAATGGAATCAAAATAGTCATTTATTATATTTTCATCATGTGTGTATGTTACACTCACAACTTTTACTGGGTACGTATTACACGATTTATATCTAAATGATATCAATTTTCACACTAAATGACTATTATAAGTGAAATGTTATAAAAAAAAGATAGCTTATGTAACGTAATATCTATATAATATAGCTAAGACTGAACTTGGCGTTAATCTGCACAAACTTTCCTATGATCTTTTATATTTGAAATATTTTTGTGCCATTTTGAAAAATGAGTCGATTCAAAGATCGATTCAAAAATAACGATTCAAAATCATTGATTAAATTGGTGAAACGATTATTTTCAACAAAAATCGATTCACTAAGATAGATTCTTGCCTTAAGATCGCCCAATGCTACCCTACCTATCGACCCATCAACTCATTGACCGGGAATTGACGGTTTTACTTCCAATCCAGCCCAGTGGCAGGCGCGCAGGCAACATGTTATACCGTGACAGCGGGCCCAGCACAGCAAAATAAACGATTTGAGCCCGGGACATGCTGCCTACTGTCAAACGCTGCTGTTGGTATAGACCTTGTCACTGGCCTGTTCCATTCCGAAGGAAGGCATGGTCAGAGATATTGCTTCAGAAAATCCCGGCGCCACCGACTGGGATTGAACCCAGGCCTTTTCGAGAGAGAGAGGCAGTCACCCTTACCGCAACACCACCGGCGCCTCTGTATTGTACAATATAAAAGTGATGAATCGAATAGAAATCATAATGTTAAACATCATGTGATGAAGTTTTTACTTTTACTTAATCGATTGTGACATAATCTGTAGTAATTTACGATCCTATCTGTACATTGTTATTATACAACATATACTTGTCAGTGAGATTGCCGTTGTAATATGCTACGTGATACATAATTTTCTATCACGTACAATGAGAACAAAATGATAAAAAAAAACTACGGATGGGTTGATAGCATTTTCTAGCATTCCTTCTCGGAATTCAACTAACTTTCCGTCTTTGTGATGTGATAGGTAATCCTTCCGTAAGGGACCATCCATAAATGACGAGTCACATTTTTGACTTATTTTTGATCCCCTCGTAGCATATTTGTCTATGATAAATACATGGCCAGTCATGAAATCTAAACTCCCCTACCTACCCCTGCTACGTAATTTATGCATGTTCCCTATGCATTCAACATTGTTATTCATCACAATACAACACATGACACATCATCTAATGTCCTTTACTGCGAGTATCTATAGGAGAAACCTATTCAGAGACAGGATTACACGTATAAATGCTTGCCGCCACATTAAACCAGCAGAGAAATCATATCATATTATACCAGCCGAGAAATCAAATCACCAATGGTGATTCACCATCGATCCTTGAAAATCAACGTTCCATATTGGTTAAGAGGCCTGTTGTTTGTTGGCATTAAAACTTTCCATGTGGGAGTTTATCATTCCATTCACTGGGGGCATCAGCATGTCATACAGTGCGAGAAATTCCTATAAGCGCATGGTCATTGTTCTATTCAAATATCAAACCCAAGCATATATAGTAGCAGAGATGCCAGATTTGCAGACATGTCTGTGAATTTACAGACTTTTTTTTTCACAGACATGTTTTTCGTTACAAACATTTACAGACTTTTTAGTTTCTTCACAGATATTTACAGACATTTGTAATCAAGGAAAAAAATTAAAATTTATTTGGTTGCGCTGTTTTAAATCTTTCATCAAATTACACGTGCGATGCATGCGTGTTAGAAATTCGCGCGTTTTCTAATCCACCACACGAACGAGCTGTCACTGTTATAGACGGTCATAGTTATAGACCTGTCAATGTGCTGCCATGTTGTATCCAAAACGAACATATTCCATACGATTTGACGGTTTGTTTGGATACGTCAACTCACGTTGGCCTGTCTATAACTTGACTGTCTATAGTCACTGTCACTGAAAAACCCAAATGTCCGGAACCGAATGTGCGATCAGGATAAAATTTAATAGCGTCATATGGTAGAACAGTTTAAACAAAATGGAAGTGGTTTCACTCAAATCGGTTCAGCAATCGTTGAGAAAAAAAAGAGGGAGTTTTACTGAATTATTTCACTTTTTGGCCATTTCTCCGGATCCCATCGAGCGATCTAGATAGAATTCAAAAACGTTCTATGGGAGAACAGTTTAAACAAAATGGAAGTGGTTTCATTCAAATCGGTTCAGCCAACGTCAAGAAAAGTGAGTGAGCTTAACTGAATTATTTCAAAAGTTCACTTCACTCCATATCTTCGCAATCCAATTTGCGATCGAGATAAAATTCATTAGCGCTCTATAAGAGAAACAAACAAACAGTGGTTCCACTCAAATCGGTTCAGCTATCGTCGAGAAAAGTGAAGGAGACATTTGGTTTACATTTCAAAATTTCACTTTTTCTCTTCCATAAATAAATTTCAATGCGGTTTTTGTAGCTAGTCCGGATGATCCAGCTTAAATACGCGTAGCTTAAGCGCCACTACACAAGGGAGACCACACGTCCAAGGTTAAGGGCGAGTTCATTAATTCCTAAAAAGGATTTACGGATCGTTCCAGACAGCTTCCAACTAAACGACCAAATGGGAATTCCCTATTATCCCCATGAATTCACACTCAAGTAAGTCACTCAGAGAAACGGTAGAGCTCACGTATACCCTAAAACTCTACGAGAGAGAACTTCTCATCATCGCCCAGTCCCGTCACCTGCCGCTAGACGTCTCCCTAATCTGGTAGTGGAATGTACTTCCCACCATTCAAACTCAACAAGAGGACGGGCAACCAAAACTAACACGAACGCGGAGTGATGTCAAACACATTCAAATAATTAAAGCTGGGGAGATTTGGAACGGGAAAACAACACGTAGTAACTTACGTGGGTTTCTGCCAAGGGTCACAGTCGATGACCGGTCGGCGGGTTCGACGCACTCGGTGTTGCGTTCGATGACCGCGTAGAAAGCGTTACCCCTTTGATGATGGTGGCAAATGGCGGTTCGGCGTTTCACACGCCGATACTATGGCGGTTACTATGCCGTGCCGGTTTTGATGATGAGCCGGCGTGTGGATCCTGTCCACGTGGAGGTCCCTCGAGCCTCCTCGGACCGATGTGATTACGGATCTGTCCGCTTCCGGCCGGTTGGCAATTGCCAGGAAATTCCGTCCGACGGGGAGAAGTTCGCGCTTGGGTGCGCAATTGGTTGCTGCGGAATGAAGGTACAACACTACAACAGAAAGTTGAACACAAGCACGAGCGCGGACAAAACAGTACATTTCGAGCACACCAAATTACCCTTTTCTTTAGCAACTCTCTCCTACCGCACACAACTAATTCACGCACACTTTAGTTTCTAACTAAACTCTAGAACGAACAGCAAAACTTTAATTAAATTTAATAATTGACATCACTTTATATTAGCATACTTTTCGCTTTACTAACGGACACGAACAAACGCGCACACTTCTAAATTGGTGGAAAGTCACGGACGAAATGATCGAGCCTGTGAATCCTCAGATTAAGGAAATGTAAGACTCGGACGGACCGGAAGTCCATCTTTTCCCGAAACCCACCGTGTACTTTCGTGAGTTACGAAAGATAACTTGGCCGATAGAAGTGCCGTTGTCCCTTTCCTACCTTATCCATAAATTAAATGGACCCGTCTTAGGAAAGATTTCAGCAATAAAAATGCTTGTGTATTCCTACTGCCTACCCTAAGGAATTTAATTCAAATAATTTAAACCTATTAAATTATATACAAAGTTACACAAAATTCCTGATCGTTACATTTTATGGAAAATCAATATAAATACTTGCACTAATCATTATGTTCAGTTCCATTTCATCATTGGGTCTGAATATGTCCACCATTGATCTTTTAGTAAAATTCTAATGTGATTTGAGGTGTCTCATGATGAGTGGTACATCAATCTATTGCAAATTCCCCAGTGGAACCTGGAATTCACATTTTTGTTCATATCTTCGGAACCATAATTCCGATCGGGAAAAAAATCAATAGTGATCTATGGGGATCTGGAACACATCTTCTGGAACTTGTTTCACTCAAATTGGTTCAGCCATCTATGCGAAAATTGAGTGAGTTACACTCATACGAACCTACATACGTACATATATACACACATACAGAAACATTTTCCGATCCCGTTGAGATGAGTATATTGGTATAAAGGGAGTGCGGAATTAAATTGCATCATTTTCAAATGGCTGTACCTTTTTACCCATTGGGTATCTTGTTACCCATTGGGTGAAATTAGCTCAATGTGTATTTTTTGTACTGTGTAAGTTTCACTAGCAGCTGTGAAATCGTTGCAAAAATGGAGTCCGAAGAACAGCAACGGCGAAACAAAAATTCAGAGGAATCCAAACAGTTCAGTTAGAGATGTGGCGAAGAAACTGCACTTAAACAAAACTTTCGTGCAAGATGCGAAAAAACTGAAGGACTACACACGTAGCACTCATGTGATCACATGAATGTTATGCGAAATTCAGATAGATATCATTGGTTTTGTTAATGTAAAAATATTATGAAGCATTTCCAGCCCAAAACGCAAACCGGTTGGACATGAGCGTATACCCCCCTTAAGCAAAAAAAATCCCACTCAGGTAAAGTACTTAACAAATGAAGAAGCATTTTAGCAGACAGCAAAATGCTACACTCAATAGTTTCGTCGCAAATGGCCATGTCCCACTTTTTTTGATTTCGTCCCACTGTGCGCCGCGCAGATAGGCCTAAGCGGGTTTTATGAGTCTTACCTTGGGGTTGTGTGTGAATGTGGGAAAATGTATGAGAATCTCAAGCGTAAGTTTTGGTTTGTTGATTCGCATTCGAGTTTATTCTCTCAAGAGAGTTCAATGAATGAGATTTGATAATGATTTTCAGAACACTGCCACACATAAACAGATTCCACTCAGAAGTACTCATGAAATTTATGTGTCAAATGAATGGGTTTTATGTGTACACATATAAGGTATGTGTCCGACACATGGATATCATTGCATGTGTGGGATACATAGCAACAATCTATGCTATACGGAGGTCGGTATATTGGTTTTCATTCCCCATCAATTATATAATTAACTATAAGAATTTGTTTTACAGATTTTCTTTTTTTGTGTTGATCCTGGAATTTGGAGTCGATACAAATACACAAAATACGAATTAACAACTTTGGATACACACTTTGTTGAGAATTGGCGTAAGGTTCAAGTTGAAATGTAACACTCCAAGAAGAAAAAGGAGAACATCAATAATAACTGTTTAGAAGCAGCCTTGACGACTACATCCAATGCGATCACGGGTGCACGATTGTGAGATGAAGTTGGTAGCGAGCAAACGCCAACCAACATTTCTAGCAAGTTCATCGTTGAATTATACAGGAAGGCATCTTACCATGGAGGCAGATATAGACTAAACTAGCCCTTTGCATAAAACGAACGGTCGTTACGCTGGCAACACAGTAGATTCGCAAGACCATGAAAATTTAACAAACGAAAAATAGTCTACAATCGGTGTTTACGACACACTTGCCAGCTCACTCTGCAGTTTTTCCATTTTCAAACCGAGATACTGTTTGGCTCCGAGCTGCTGGTAGTGGATAACTGGAAACATTTCATAACGATCCTAGTGGAAACGAGTTTCAATTGGCTCATAGTCCGAGCGGGGGGCACATTCCCAATGGCACAGTTTGAAAATTCTGCTGGGTTTTATGATTGTTGCGCTACTCTTCGGAAGTCCAAACGTTGGTGATGTTGAAATTGTTCTGAAGTTGGTAATCAAACTGTTATGTATTTATTTAATGTGAATTGCTTCAACTTGAAGTTTAAAATCATTCAAGACCTGGCGGAAAATATGTACAATGAAGTTACACACATTTCAAATCGATACAAGAAGCTTGTGAAGCAATGGGAACGTTGCAGCAGTCAAGCCCAAAGATAACATGTGTCCAGATTCTTGATTGTTTTTGGCGTTTATTTTCCCAGATTTATTTTGAAATCAAACAAGGCATAGTATTAGTAATTTTTAATTGAATTACTGAAACTGTACTGGAAAATTCAGTAAAAACAAGTAATAAACCAGATTTTACGTTGCGACGCAGAAGTAGGTAGCGTGACCAATAAACGAATAAAAATTGAGGAAGTAATAGTATAAAATCATTAGAAATTGGATAAATCCAAAGTTTGAAATAAATGGTGACTTAAAGCGAACCCCACACGGTAAGAAATATTGTCAATACTTACAAGTATTGACAATAATATTGATGATGTGAATACAGAAATATTGTCAATACCGATGTATTGACGTCAATATAAAATGTATTGACAATACGATTATTGTCAATACAAACTGTCGTGTAGGGTTCACTTAATTTTCGGTGTTTACCGCATATACAGGGTGTTTGGTTCCGGGTTTTACATATTTTCAGGGTAGATAGGGCTCCTAAAGTTATGAAAAAATCCCCATGAAACATAGGGTCGGAAATGACTGCTAAGTGAGTTATTCAACATTTTATGTTTTTTTGTATTGCCAACTTTGGTTAGCTATATTTTTTTAATCTTAATGTGGTTTTCTGATTTCAACATACCAAATGAAATATTAAAGTCTTAGCTATCAATACTCTTTGAAAAAGAACTCGATTAAAGTTAACTATCATACATTAAAATTGAAAAGTATGTTGAAAGTACCAAAAAAACTGGTAAAATTTCATACATTTTAGTGTTTTTGAGTTGAAAATTTTCATTTCTGTTTATTTAGTTGTTCTACAAAACATTTTCCATGCAGTTCCCTAGATTTGTGTCTTTGGTAGTAACCGTGTAGGCTTTATGGTTTCTTCGTAATTATTGATTTAAAACAGCGATAAAAACTTATGACGTTTTCATAAAATGCGCTATAGTCACCCTATTCGTTCGTACGTTCGGCTGTTGCAGTGGACTACGCACATGAAAATTTGGTAGAATGTTATTGTAAATGTTTAGCTACATTCTTAACTTTTGATTACCGCACATGTCCTGCGCCGAAAGAAAACATAACTGCGGAGGTGTTTCGCGGTATCGAATATTGCTCAGTCTCAGCAGAAAACACAACGAGAGACACCGAATCAGCGAATTCTGAGAGCGGAAGGGAGAGAAGTAGGTAGGTGGTAATAAGTCGATGTCCTTTTTATTTCATAGCACTCGCAGCTCAGCTGCGGTGCTGTTTCGATGGAGGAGCGTGGAGCTCCGCTGCTTCTGTATACACACTTAGATTTTTTTACAGGAGTTAGTATTTTTACTGGATTTTTGGATTACTGACTCGGTTAAAATTCAAATGACTGTTATTGGTAAAGATTGGATAAAATCGAAAATTTTTATTTTTCATCATTACACGGGGTTAACAGAAGTTAGTCTGTAAATTTTCGTAACACATTTTCTCAACTTTGAATTTTTCACAGATTTTTTAAATTTTACCGCAATTCAAAAACTCGGTAAAAATTACTGACTCGATAAGTGTGTACTGATGTATGGTTGGTGAAGAGACTAGCATCTGGAGGGTATTCTCGGGCTAGTGAATGCCACCCATCCCCACTTATAATTCAGTAATACACTATTTATTCATTTTTGTTTGATATGTTTACAAAGTTTGCAAACAGAAATGAGCATTGCAGTGTAGTTACCAATTTTCCAAGTCATAGACTTCAGATAACTGTTCAAAGTCCCAGATTTTTTATAACGGAATCATGTATATGTATGTATGTAAGGTAACCACCATCCTTTCAAGACTTGTCTTGTATGCAGCTCCACTTAATAGCAATATCAATTTGAGCCACCGATCTGAATTCACAATATCGCTGTATGAAGGGCCAAAAACGGAAGGGCGGACCCGTAAGCAGAGACACTTACGCGAAATCCACGGGAATTTAAGAATCTCCTTCCAACGATACGCTCCAACAAATCGAATAACACAATTTGCAATACTTATTAAGCTTCCTACTGGATGGTTTGTTAAGAAGGGCGCGTCAATCGCCCTGAAACTGTTGGAGTAGAATTCACACCACCACAATCGAATCGGTAGGATAAAGAAAATGATAGTGTTAATTCCCTCCTAGACTCCGGCTGTCAATCATACCATCGTCCAGTTTCAGTTTGAATGATACCCTGATGCTCCCGCCCAACCCAGTATTTATTTATATAATGAAAATATATGCAATAGAGAAATCAAGAGCTAATTTTCATTATGTCGTAAGTAACATTCGCACCAATCCGAGAAAAATAAAGTTTTGTTTTGATGACCGAAAAGTTATTCCTATTTCCAAGTAAACTCATATAATCTCATAGTGATAGCAATGTTTAACATATTTAGAAGGGTTTTAATCATACAAATGCAAATCGCTAGCTTTCATGCTAAAAAATACTGGTTTTTGAGTCAAAAGTTATTATACGTCGTTTGGTGGCCCCTATTGTTACTTAAGTCAAAGTGTATTTACCAGGATATTCGGGAGAATTATCAATTACGTCTCCTTACGTGCAGCCCATTCATCATTTTAGGACCACCGAAATCATCTTAGCAACAAACAGTTCGATTTATTCACTTTAATAATGAGAAAGCGAAACGACGAACGTACACTTTTCACGGGTTTCTCAGCACTGTTACTTAAGTCAAAAGTCTCCATAGAAATTGGGTGACTTAAGTAACATCGAAAACTATTTTGATCGGAAAGTGATTACGTCAAAAAGCAATTTGACTGGTAAATAAATTTAAAAATGGGATTTGATCCTATATTCGGACAGTATATAGTGTAATAGCAGGAGAATCGATTGACACTGATAGCTCGACTTTGTTTACCTTTGTTACATTCGACGTAATGAAAATTTGCTCTTGAAATGATATATCAGAACATTAAAATATGAATACATTAAAATATGAATACATTAAAATATGAAATACATTTATGTGGATAATATAGTTGCTACTGCAATGAAGAAGTATTCTACATATAATAAGATGCAGCTCTACACCTCCTCAGCTCACAATGGCAGGTGGATGCAACACTGAAATGTAAAGGATATATAAGGCAATTAAATATATTTTGCTCGAATGATACTAACAATAATGCTAAAAATTGTGATGAATAACTAACATGACGAGAAATAACCTGCTTAATAATTATATACATATAATATTATTTAATGTTGTTATTTCCTCTGCTTCATCAGCTTCATATTAATTTCGATGACTGAAATATTAAGGTAATAGTAATTGTTCCTTCAATAAACCGAGCGGACTGTATTTTTCGGTTGGATACTCGAGAACGAAAATAAAACGCGTCCGATACTAGCGAGTTCAACAAAAGATATGATTTTTTATTCTCCAAAAGATACATTGGTATTTGTGAGGTTCCAACTTTTACGGTACAGTGTTGGCAGCAATAGTAGGATTCTGTAATGTAGATTTTCTCTCTTAACATCCTCCCGGCGTTGAAATGGGTAATTTCAATCCATTTGGCCATCTAGAGGCAGTAGACATATCTCCGTTATAGCACGCTTATACTCCCCCTTTGAAGTCTTCACAGTAACAACCCGGGTCACGCCATCCTTACCAGGGTGTAACTCCTTCACTCGCCCAAGCGGCCACTGGAAGGGTGGCACATTTTGATCGATTACCAACACCAGGGATCCTTTGGTAATGTTGATCGTCTTTGTCCACTTCGATCGGTTTTGCAGCTCGGGTAGATATTCAGCCGTCCATCTTCTCCAGAAATGTTGAAATATTGTCTGGACAAGTTGCCATCGTGAAAGCGTTGACTGTTTTAGATCCAGATAAGACGGTTCAGGAACTGCCTGCATCTCTCGACCAATTAGAAAATGTGCAGGGGTAATCGCAGATAGATCACACGGATCGTCAGAACACGGCGCCAATGGCCGCGAGTTCAGCACAGCTTCAATTTGGGTCAATGTGGTGTATAACTCTTCGTACGACAGCTTACAACCACCGACAATCCGCGTCAGATGGTGCTTTACCTGCTTCACTCCAGCCTCCCAGATACCACCGAAGTGAGGGCTTCGTGGTGGTATGAAAGACCATTCAATTCCTTGATTGGTGCAATAATCCGTTATCTTCTTGGACTGCTGTTGATCGTTAAAAAGCCGCGCTAGCTCCTCAAGTTCATTTTGAGCTCCGACAAAATTCGTTGCATTGTCGGAATACATCTTACATGGCAACCCTCGCCGGCTAGTGAATCGCCGCAAGGCAGCTAAAAATGCATCAGTGGTCAAGTCGGACACAAGCTCCACATGTATTGCTCGCGTCACCATACAAACGAACAAACAAACATAGGCTTTGGTTACTAACGGCCTGCGACCAGCAGTGAACGACTTTATCAAAAAAGGGCCAGCGTAGTCCACACCAGTATAAGCAAAGGCTGGCGCCGGTTGGACTCGGTATGAAGGCAGATCACCCATCAGCTGGGACGTTTTCAGTGGATTCGCTCTGAAGCAAGTAATGCAGCTACCGATGATTTTCCGGATCGTTGATTTGACTCTCAGTGGCCAAAATCGCTGACGAACCATTGCAAGTAGACCCTTTTGTCCAATATGCAAGTTTGACCGGTGCAAATTCTTCACAACGGCTACCGAAAACGGATGTCCGGCAGGTAATAACATTTGGTGTCGACTGTCATATGGTATGAGAGCATTTTTGATTCTACCTCCCACACGCATAATCCCATCTTGCGAATCGATGAACGGTTTCAAGCCACACAGACGGTGTTTAGTTTGCCTTCCTTCAGTAATCACTCGTAACTCGTGATGGAACATTTCCATCTGAACACACCTCACTGTTACCGCCAGCGCAGCCCGTAGTTCTGGAACGGTTAGCGGTCCTCTGACGATCATCTTCTTTCTGCTGGTAAAGTATTTCGCGAATCGAATCAAGTAGGCCATAGCTCGTAGAATCCTGTCATAATCATTTGCTCTGTCGAAAATCAACAATCGTTTCACAGGAGAAGTAACAGCCAACGAGACACCAGCTTTCATTTCGGGTAAATTTTCATCCGCCAACGGCGCAGGGTGCACTTCTTCAATCGTTGTCACCTTCAGCATGGGCGGACCGTCCCACCACATCGTGTTAGCTAACAATTTACGGGGAAATTCTCCACGCGAAATAATATCCGCTGGGTTTTGTTGACTCGGAACGTATCGCCACTTATACGCACCTGTAATTCGTTGAATTTCGGTCACTCTGTTCGAAACATACAGCTGTAGTACCTCCGGTGGTTTCCGTATCCAACAATAAACAATCTGGGAATCGGTCCACAGATTTACGGACTCGAAATCAATATCAATCGCAGCAATCGCTTTTTCAACTAATTTTGACAGCAACACCGCACCAAGCAGCTCGGCTCGAGGAGTAGTAATTGGCTTGCACTTGCCAGACTTTTTTGGAAGAATCCGTGATTTGCTGCAGATTAGATGCATCGTGACTGAACCGTTCTGGTGGATAACTCGTGAATAGAGACACGCCCCGTAAGCCACGTCGGAGGCGTCGGAGAAACCGTGCAGTTGCACGGACATCGCATCAGCTGTTGAGATCCACCTTGGTACACGCAATTCGTTCAGGCAAATCAACTCGTCACGAAAATACTGCCACTTAAGCACAATATTATGTGGGACAGGGTCATCCCAATCCACCGCAAGCACACTGACCTCCCGAAGAATCAATTTCGCTGCAGTAACAATCGGGCCAACTATTCCAAGCAAATCATATATCTTGGCAACTTCACTGAGAATTTTTCTTTTCGTTGTAGCTTCAGGATTACCAGGTTCGACAGAGAACGAAAACCAATCGTCAAGCGGATTCCAGACAACGCCTAAGGTCTTTATGATGTTCGAGTTGATGTCACCCACATTGAAATTCGTACCACAAGATTCCTTGTCAACATGCTGCAATATTTCCGAGTGGTTTGCACACCACTTATGAGTCTCGAAACAACCTTTCGCCAATAATCCGCTAACTTCCTGCTGAAGTGCGCATGCATCCTGGATACTGTGCGCACCTGCAATCACGTCGTCCATGTAGGCACTCTTCTTTATTACCTTCGATGCTTGAGGAAATTCGTGCTGGTGATCTTCCGAAGTCTGTCGAAGTGCCATAGTGGCTTGAAAAGGAGATGATGCCAAGCCATATGTTACTGTCGAAAGCTCATACACCGTCAGTGGCTCGTTCCGATCATAGCGGTATACTATTCGTTGGTATGCTGTATCCGGAGGGAGGACTCCGACCTGACGAAACATTTTGACAGCGTTTACCGTGAACACGTACCTGTAGCTGCGATAGTTCAATAGAATGCAAAACAAATCATTTTGAACGTTTGGCCCCGTCAGTAGAGCATCGTTGATGGCCACTCCTGATGATGACGGTGCAGACCCGTCAAACACGACCCTCAATTTTGTAGACGTACTTGTGGGTTTTACTACACAGTGGTGGGGTATGTAGTAAACGGTATTGGACGCTTCGCTATCGTCGACGGTGATGGCTCTCATGTGACCGAGGTCTTCGTACTCATGCATAAAACAGGCATACTGCTGCTTGATTTCTGGTTCCCTGTCCAGCCGTCGCTCCAAAGAAAGAAACCTTCTCGTTGCCATTGTTCGGGATTCACCGAGTTCGTTTATCATGTCGTTGAACGGGTGCCGTACGTAATACCTTCCTTCCTGATCTCGTTGGTGGGTGTCACGGAAATGTTCCAAGCAGCGATCATCAGCTGCTTTGTTCGAGTACTGGATCTCATCGCAAGCTTCCAGTTTATAGAAGCTTCGTAGAAGTTCACTCAAATCTTCGTCGGCAATTTGGCAGAAAGATTTAGCGATCACTGGTACATCAGTCGAAATGATACCTCCAGCCACCCAACCGAATTCCGTGTTAGTGAGCACTGGTAGGTTCGATCCTAGCTTGATCTGGTCTCCCTTCACTACATCCCAGAAAATTTCTGCACCAACAAGCATATCGATGCGTCCTCTAGTATGAAACTCTGGATCAGCTAATTTGATATCGGTAGGGATGGACCACTCCGATGCACTGAATGACCGTTGAGGGATGTCACCCGTAATCCGCGGAGCGACGAGGAATTCTAAATCAACAGAAAAATCTCCGATACAGGATTCGATTGTCATGTGCACCCTATGACGAAGTCTGGTGTTAGTCCCGTTGAGACCGCTGACTGTGTAGTCGACAGGTTCCTTCTTCGGGGCAACCAAATTGACAAAACGCTCCGTGACGAAATGGACTTGGGAAGCGGAGTCTAGTAGAATTCTGCAGGGATAAACAGCGGAATTTGATCCACGGATTTGCACCACTGCGGTAGACAGCAACGTTTGCTTCACTGGACTTCCCACACTAGCACACAGTGTTGTAGCGGTGCCGGATCGAGATGCTTCAACAAGATTACACGAATTGGATTCCTTGCGAGGTGGATGTGCGTCATCACTGGTAGTGCACTGTGTGGCTGCGATCGAATCTGCTGACTTGGAGCTGGAACCTTCACTAATATGGAGTGATGTATGGTGGCGTTTACCACACTCACGGCAGTTATGCGTCGAAGTACATCCGTTAGTTCGGTGGCCTTTCTGCAGGCAGTTGAAGCAGCATCCCGACTTCTTCAGCATATTGTATTTATCACTCACATTCATCTTCTTAAAGTTTTCGCATTTCCATAGTTCGTGGTTGTTTTTGCATACAGCACACTTCAGTTCATGTTTTGTTTCATTCTTCTGTTCATTTATATTCACTAGCGTGTGGGCCTTCGCCACCGCTTTCGGCTTCACACTTTCCACTTTGTTGCTCGTTTCAATTTTTTCAATAATTCTGCACTGCTCTTGTAGGAACGTCATCGTCGCCGTATAACTGGGCAGAATTCCCGGTTTCTGACGAGTCTCCCAGGCGACTCTCGTAGCTTTATCCATTCGCGACGAAATCATGTTCACCACCATTTGCTCGCCGAGCCCTTCCAGTTGAAGGTTCAAGTTCTTCAGTGCTTCGATGTTCTTGTTGCACACGTCCAGCAACTTTCGGAGGTTTACCGAGTTGTCCTTTACGATATTCGGCAAATTGAACAAACACTCGATGTGCTTGTCTATGATAAGTCTCTTGTCTTCGAATCTCTCCGTGAGGAATCGCCAGGCAGCATCGTAGTCGTTATTGTTAACGATGTCCTGGTCTATGATTCCTGCAACCGGACCAACAAGTGAATTACGGAGATGGTAAAGCTTTATGGCCGGCTCCTCATGTGTGTATCGATCCATGATGGTATTGAACATGGATTTAAACGAAAACCATCGTTCGTACGACCCATCAAAGGTCGGTAACGGTGCTTGAAGTGGAGAGAGGAATGGCAAAGTTGATCCAAATGTCATCGAAGCGGGTGTCATAGCCACAATTTCTTTCTTCGTGTCAGCTTCCTTTGTAGCCTCCTCTGTCAGCATACTCAACCGGATCGACAAGTCGTTGTACATCGTCTCGAATTCGATGTATTTCGCTACCTGCTCGGCTCGTCGCTCTTCAGAAAGGGGCAGGGCATAAATGAGGTTCTGAAAGTCATTATATTCACTGTATGCCTGGTCAACTGTTTTTTGATGCAGCCGAAGATAGTGCAAGTTTCGAATGTTCGTATTCGGTGCATCGTCACTATGTTGAATGGCACTTTTAACACGCGTTAATTTGCCCTTCACTGCCCCTCTCTGATGAGTGAGAGTTCGCAGCTGTTCCTCCATTTTCGTTTGATCCTGTTTCTGCTTTTGTTTGGTTTCGGTGATGTTTACAGCGTACACTTGACACGGCAAGTTTACTCATTCACGAGCGACGGCCATTTTAAATAGCGCGTCACTGCATTCAACCAGCGGTTCTGATGAATGCTCAATTTCTACGAAATTTCGCGGAAAGGCACTTCGCCACGCGTTTTCCACTACTTTTCACGATATCCGGTCATAGAAGGACCAAAAAATGTTCCTTCAATAAACCGAGCGGACTGTATTTTTCGGTTGGATACTCGAGAACGAAAATAAAACGCGTCCGATACTAGCGAGTTCAACAAAAGATATGATTTTTTATTCTCCAAAAGATACATTGGTATTTGTGAGGTTCCAACTTTTACGGTACAGTGTTGGCAGCAATAGTAGGATTCTGTAATGTAGATTTTCTCTCTTAACAGTAATAGTATATCATGCAATGTATAATTTATATAATATATGTAGTGAAATGCAAAATATATAAAAAAATAATAATAATCAAGTTTTGTTATTTATAAATCATTGATCGTTGGTAGCATCTAGTCTGAAAAGGGTACCTGTATAATAATTATATGCATATAATGTTAAGTATTGTTGTTGCTTCCTCTGCTTCATCTGCTTAATTTTTATTTATATGAGTAATACAATACAATAAAATACATTAAAGTGAACAATCAAATGGTACCTTCCTTCTCTCATCTTGTAAATGCATCGTTATCAAGCAACATTTAGATAAATCAACGCCTAGCGCGCTCCAGAAACATTACAGGTTGTAAAACAATATAACGAAGTACATATGTAGTAATATTCAGGATCTACGTATAAGCAGGATGCCCTCCACTCATTCTGACTAAAATTAAAAAAAAAATGCCTCAGTAAACTATGGAACAATAAGACAACACGATGACTTTCCGCATGCGTAAGGTACAAGAAAAGATCCTAAAGCCCGCGTCCCACACACAAAACCTGCAATTTCAGCTTTGACAGAGCCACAATGAGCGATTTTCTGATCGCCTCTTCGCGAAGAGTGAAGAGCAAAGAGTGGGTGAGATAAATGACAAAATCGCCCATTGCGACTCTTATGCCGCAACATTGGCTGTCATTATGTGTCAAACACAAACTCCACAATCCCCTCCTGTCGCTCACACAACCAAAATATCACCATAACATCCTACTACTCCACAATCCCACACTCCTCCAGCCAAAATGAATGAAAGGCACCCTGCATATAAGGCGACTGATGAATCTGTATGTTCATGTGCAATTTTATTATCAGCGGAATGGGATACGATATGGAAGATTTCAATATGATTTCATATTATACAGGAGCATTTGTAACATCAATTTAAAGAATTATATTAACTAGGTTTGGATCCATAATTGTAGATAAAACACACTTTAAACGTGTTGCTAAAATAAAACCTATACTGCAGAAGCATGAATTATGTAAGTGAAAATTTACTGCTGTTGTTTGTTTATCTGTTCTAGCTGGTTTTCAATTACCAGTAATCCATAAAACTTACAAAATAAAGCGACCACCTCTTCCATGGGCGAAAAGCGCTAATCATTTTTGTATGGTTACTCTGCTCAACTCTGCTACTCCTCTAGCATCCTAAATCTGGTATTTAAAATTTTAATGTTAATAGAATAGTTACAATAAAAACGACACACCGCCGTAAATGCCGTACCGGATCCTGCCGTGTCTCAGCACCTTAACCTTAAACATAAAACTCTACACACCAATTTAATCCAATGGACTGCCTATCTCCTGAAGCCCCTTTCTCCATAATTACTCTTTCACCTCTTCACGCGAGACCTCCACCACCACCACCACCCGATAATTTAGGAGAGCTATCTACATGAGAGAAATGGAGAGAGAAAGAGAACTGTTCGAAGGTGTTTCTCGATCTGCCTCTCCCTCCCCTCCCCAACTAAAAGATAGATGGCATGGCACGTGAGCCCCGCAGATTTTTTATAACGGAATCATGAACAAAAAAGAAAGCAAAGAGCACTATGACAAACGTGATCGGTCTGAAGGGATCTTATATTACTTATTTGATCTTATTTGAAGGGAATAAATAGTGTATTACTGAATTATAAGTGGGGATGGGTGGCATTCACTAGCCCGAGAATACCCTCCACATGCTAGCCTCTTCACCAACCATACATCAGTACACACTTATCGAGTCAGTAATTTTTACCGAGTTTTTGAATTGCGGTAAAATTTAAAAAATCTGTGAAAAAATCAAAGTTGAGAAAATGTGTTACGAAAATTTACAGACTAACTTCTGTTAACCCCGTGTAATGATGAAAAATAAAAATTTTCGATTTTATCCAATCTTTACCAATAACAGTCATTTGAATTTTAACCGAGTCAGTAATCCAAAAATCCAGTAAAAATACTAACTCCTGTAAAAAAAATCTAAGTGTGTATACAGAAGCAGCGGAGCTCCACGCTCCTCCATCGAAACAGCACCGCAGCTGAGCTGCGAGTGCTATGAAATAAAAAGGACATCGACTTATTACCACCTACCACTTCTCTCCCTTCCGCTCTCAGAATTCGCTGATTCGGTGTCTCTCGTTGTGTTTTCTGCTGAGACTGAGCAATATTCGATACCGCGAAACACCTCCGCAGTTATGTTTTCTTTCGGCGCAGGACATGTGCGGTAATCAAAAGTTAAGAATGTAGCTAAACATTTACAATAACATTCTACCAAATTTTCATGTGCGTAGTCCACTGCAACAGCCGAACGTACGAACGAATAGGGTGACTATAGCATAGTCCGCATCGTGCTCTCTTGCCGTGCGGATCTATTTGCTTTTTGCTGAAGGAAGTGTTACTACTACCTAAAGCTACAACAAATTTAAACAGCACTTTTCAGTGCTCAACCTGCAAAATTTCTATCTTGTTCAACTCTTATTCCTCTTCGATCCTTGTTTGGACCCTACCCGAGGTAATCCTTCTTGGATATCGATTTGGAAAATTCCTCTTCGATCCTTCAGATTCTTATAGTAATCTGCTTGGAAGTCGATCTGGATAAAAATTTACTGCCGCCATGGCGCCTAAACGCAAAAGAAAGGGGCAAACTCTTGACCCCCCTTCTGATGAAATTAATTTGAGTAATCAATTTGATTTGCTCACGGATGATGAGAATGATCCATCATCCAAGAAAAATTCTAGTAAACTTTCCCGGCTTAATGCCAAGAAGGAAAAGATTCCCCCTATTGTGATAACCACTACCGATTTCCATGCTCTTCGCATGGAACTTTTGAATTTCGTGAAAGTTAAGTTTTCACTACAAATTGGACGTCGGGGTGAATGCCGTGTATTGGCTGAAACCTTGGACGGATTTAAATGTCTTCTCAAGTATCTTACTGAGAAGAAGCACAAATTTTTTACTTACGACACCAAAACTGAACGTGTGTTCAAGGTTGTCATGAAAGGACTGCCCAGTGGTGAATCCCTGGATCAGATCAAAGATGAACTGGCAAAATTACTTGGAGTTGTGCCACTCCAAGTAATCAAAATGAAAATGAAATCCCGTCCTGGCGATTCGCGCAACGGGATTTCTAATGATTTTTATTTAGTTCACTTCAAGTCTAGTGAACTAAACAACCTTAAGGCCTTAGAAAAAGCTAGCCTTATGCTCCATGTCCGAGTGAAGTGGGAACACTTCAGGAAGACTGGAGGAAATTTCCAAAACCTCACTCAGTGCCGTAAGTGCCAGGGATGGGGTCACGGAACTAAAAATTGCTACATGCCAGCTAAATGCATGAATTGTGGTGATTCCTCTCACGCAAAGGACGACTGTCCTGTGAAGGAAGATCCTAAGAAATTTAAATGTTCAAATTGTGGTGAAAACCACAAATCCAATTTTTGGGAATGTAAGACTCGCAAAGCGATCCTACAATCTCGTTCTAACCGACAGGTAAGAAACGCTCCACGTTTCCGACCAGGTACAAATTCCTCTGCTGTTAACAACGGTCAGCGAGGAACAAATTCTACATTCGTACCCGTAGGTACAAATATCACCCCTGCTTCAAATGTTTCATCTGTACCTACTCCCCTCGCTGCTAACAATGTTCAGCGAGTTAATGGAGCTACCTATGCTGCTATTGCAGCGGGTAGAAATCAAAATACTAACCAACGTTCTAACGGAAATTTTGACAATTTTGACTTAGGGAGCATTACTGCCCCCAAAATGGAATTTTTACAGAATTCATTAATTGACATGATTTCTGATATGCTTAAATCTAACTCCATGTTTGATGCTATTCAAACTGGAGTAAAATTTGCAAATAATATTGTCATGACTTTAAAATTCAGTAATGGATTTTAAAGCATTAAATATTGTAAATTGGAATGCTCGATCTCTTAAAGATAATGAAGACGAGCTTTTTAATTTTTTGAGAGTTCATAACGTGCATATTGCCGTTATAACTGAAACGTTCCTTAAACCTGCCCATAAGGTTAAGAAGGACGCAAATTACTTGATTTATAGAAATGATCGTCTTGATGGACCCTGTGGTGGCGTTGCCATCATTATTCATAGACGAATCAAACATAAAATTCTTTCTTCATTTGAAACCAAAGTTTTTGAAACTTTGGGAGTTTCTGTTGAAACAAAATTTGGACAACTTACGTTTATAGCTGCCTATTTGCCATTCCAATGCGTAGGCCAGCAAAAGAATTTTCTCAAGGGTGACCTCCAGAAACTTACCCGTCATAGGTCTAAATTCTTCATTATTGGTGATTTTAATGCAAAACACCGCTCATGGAATAATGCTCAAAGCAATTCCAATGGTAATATTCTGTTTGATGATTGTTCTGCAGGTTATTACACTATTCAATATCCAAACAGCCCAACATGCTTTTCTTCTGCAAGAAATCCCTCCACTATTGATTTGGTCTTAACTGATTCATGTCAACTTTGTAGCCAATTGGTTACCCATGCTGACTTCGGTTCTGATCACCTTCCAGTAAC